AATTTGCTTTGTAGATGAGTACAAGGTAAGAATGATAAGCTTTCTTCATACATTGCATCTGTCTGATTGTTAAATTAAAACTCATTGTGAAATAGATGAGCAGAATATGAGTGAGTTATTTTCAGTCATATTGATGGATCTTAACTACGCCATCTGTGAAAGTTTTAACAACATGTTGTTGATTTTACATAAGTTAAAAATAATATAAACTGCAGCAAATTTATGGCTTGACAACAGCAACTTTAGAATGTGATACATCAAATTTGAAAATATCAACCTTGAAAGCTTTATTTCACTATTAAACACGCTACAGTTTCCAATCCAAATGATCCCATCTGACCAGTAGTACAATAGAAAAGTACAGCATGAAAAGAGCCCTTTGGCCCATTATTACCTACTTGGTTGACTTTTTTTCTATTTAATCCCACTCTCCTGCCCATTCACAATCCCTGCAACTATTTCTCCTTCAATTTATAATTAGAACTTTAGTTCCATAGCAAACTCTCACAATGATTTTAAAGTGAAAGGCAGGAAGTCGAGAGGGGAATTGAGGAAATATTTTTTCATGCAGACAATGGTGGGAATGCACTGCATGAGAGGGTAGTTGAAACCTCACAACTTTTAAAAAAGGATGTGGAGGAATACATGAAATGCCATAACATTTGGGACTTTGAGGCTGAGTGCTGGAAAGTATAAGTAGGTCAGAGCAGATTTGATAGGCCGAAGGCCTCTTCTGTGCTGTATGACTCCTTTGCCAATCAGGTTTAGAAAAATAAAATGTTCCTCATAACCTGGTGACTTTAAGCCAAACTAAACTGGCCAGGCCTGTGCTGAATTTTACCATTTCAGTAACAGTCATGTAGATAGGTGTCACATTTATTTCCAGCATAGGTTTCTGACTTCATACTCACACTGTCAGTAAGACCTCCTATTTCCATCTCTGCAAGGGGGGATGATGACCTAGTGGTATTATTGCTGGACTGTTAATCTAGAGACCCAGATAATGTTCTGAGGACCTGGGTTCGAATCCTGCCATGGCAGATGGTGGAATTTGAATTCGATAAATATCTGGAATTAAGAGTCTAATGACGACCATGAATTCCATTGTCAATTGTTGGAAAAACCCATCTGGCTCACTAATGCCCTTTAGGGAAGGAAACTGTCCATCCTTACCTGGTCTGGCCTGCATATATCTCCAGACCAGCAATGTGGTTGAATCTTAACTGCACTCTGGGCAATTAGGGATGGGCAATAAATGCTGCCAGGTCAGCGACTCCCTCATCTCATGAATGAATAAAGAAAAAAAACATTGCTTGACTTCAACCCCATCTAAGCTCATCTGTTCCTGAAATACTGAATTGCCTTTGTTCCATGTAGACACGACTCTACCTGATTCTATTTCTTTCCTATCCGCCACATTCTACCCTCTATAAGCTTGAGGTCAACCAAAATTTCACCACCTGATTTGATTCTGATTTTGATTTTATTGTCGCATGTACTGAAATACAGTGAAAAGCTTTGTTTCCGAGCGGTATAGGCAGATCACAGCAAGCAAAGAATGTACAGATCAAAAAGGTTGCATTGCAGGTTACATTATTTGAGGCTAGAGTCCATTCAACAGTCTGACAACAGCCAGAAAGCAGCTGTTCCTGAACCTGTTGGTGCATGTGTTCAGGCTTCTGTATCTTCTGCCTGACAGAAGAGGTTGCAGGAGATCATTACCAGGGTGTGATGGGTCTTTGATGATATTGGATGCCTTTCCACAGCAGCGAGCCGTGTAAATAGAGTCTATGGATGGAAGGTTGGCTTCCGTGAAGGTCTGGGCTGTGCACACCACCTTCTGTAGTTTCTTACGGTCCTGGGCAGAGCAGTTGCCATATCGTTATGCACCCGGACATTATGCTTTCAATGGTGCATCCATAGAAGACATGCCAAATTTCCTGAGCCGTCTGAGGAAGAAGAGGCATTGTTGTGCCTTCTTGACTGTCACATTTACGTGGGAAGTCCAGGACAGGTGGTCGGTTATCGTCACTCCAAGGAACTTGATGCTCTTCACTCTCTCAACGCCAGTTCCATTGATCTAAATGGGGGTGTGTTCTCCTCCTTTGTTTCCAAAGTTGATGATCAGTTCTTTAGTTTCGCTGACGTTGTTTTCATTGTTTTAATTGCACCATGTCACCAAGCCCTCTATCTCCCATAGTATTTTGACTCATTGTTGTTAGATATCCATCCCACTATGGTGGTGTCATCAGTGAACTTGTAGATGGCATTCATTCAGAATTTGGCAACACAGTCATTGGTGTACAGGGAGTACAGTAAGGGGCTGAGGACGCATCCTTAGGGGGTTCCAGTGTTGAGGGTTATTGTGGAGGGGGTGCAGTTACCTATCCTCACTGATTGCAGCCCGTGGGTCAGAAAGCTGAGGATCCAGTTGCAGAGGGTGGAGCTGAGTCTAAGGTCACGCAGTTTTGAGATCAGTCTGGAGGGGATAATGGTGTTAAAGGTGGAGCTGTAGTCAACGAGCAGGAGTCTGATGTAGGTGTCCTTGTCCAGATATTCCAGGGGGCAGTGCAGGGCTAGGGAAATGGCATCCTCTGTGGACCTGTTATGTTGAATTGCAAACTGTAGAGGATCAAGGCGGGCTGGGAGACTGGAGTTGAGGTGGGCCATGACCAGCCCTCTTGAAGAACTTCATGATTATTGAAGTCAGAGCCACTGGGCAATAGTCATTAAGGTACGTTGCGTGTGTTTGCTTAGGTACGGGGATGATGCTGGCCTTCTTGAAGCAGGTGGGGCCTTCAGCTTGTAGGAGGGAGAGGTGGAAGATGTCGGTGAATACCTCCACCAGGTGGTCCTCACAGGATCACAGTGCTCGGCTGGTGACACTGTCCAGACCTGTCACTTTCCTTGGGTTGACTCCCAGGAAGGCCGATCCGATGTCTGAAGCAGTGACCGAGGGAACAGGTTTGTCTGGGGCAGGCATCGCCACGTGGCTTAACTTGCAGCAAGTCCCATTCCTGTCTCACCTCTGTACTCAGTGACCTACATTAACTGTAGGTCAAGTGACATTTTGATTTGAAAACTCTCTTCATTGTTTTCCAATCCCTCCATAACCTTGTCACCTGTTTTATTTGTAATCTCCTCCAGACCCACAATCCCCTGAGGTATCTCATTCTGGCCTCTTGTTTACTTACCATTGGTGGCTCTGCCTTCTTTTACTTAGGCTCCAATCTCAGGGTAACCCTCCCTTCACCTCTTTCCACCTCCCAACTTCACTTTCAGCCTTAAAAACACTTCAAAGCTTACCTCTGTGTGCCCAAGTTTTTGGTCACTTGACCAAATATGTAATATCGGTGTCATATTTAGTTTTGAAATTCTCCAGTGAAATGCCTTCCAAAATCTTGTATATGCACTGTTGATGATACAAGCGTGGAGCTGGAGGAACACAGCAGGTCAGGCAGCATCAGAGTAACAGGAAAGTTGACATTTTGGGTCAGGACCCTTCTTCTTTTCTGATGAAGGGCCTTGACCCGAAAAGTTGACTTTCCTGTTCCTCTGATGCTGTCTGACCTGCTGTGTTCCTCCAGCTTCATACTGTGTTGTCTCCAGCATCTGCAGTTCTTGCTATCTCTGTATATTGATACAAGTTGTTATTATTGTATAATGGACTGCACAATCATCCAGTACTCCCGGTCTCTATGCCACCTCTCTCCACGCATCACTGCCCTTAAATTGCCACTTCACAACACAATGTCTTAGTTTCTGACAACCATTCAATTCAAAAATATATAATCAAACAACATCCGAGTATGTATTTGGGGGGAAATGTCTTATTTTAACAAAAGACCAAATTCTGCCCAGTCGTCAATATGAGGTAAAGCTAAAGGCAAGTTTAATGTCTGGGTAGCATCAAAGGTGCAACTTTGAAAACAAAATATTTTAGCATTTACCTATTTCATGGGTGTAGGAGCTGGTTTTTTGCCTGAGCTACATACAAAATGAAATTCCGCAGTGGCTATGATCATCAGAAAAGAATTAAAGTAAATGACTTCTCCAGCAGCAAATAATCCCACACTATTTCTTAAAGTCTTGTTGAAGAAACTTGCTCCTCTGAAGATTTGCTTCTGCCATTAGTCCATTCTTTAACTTGTTTTCCGTCTTGTGACTTCCAATAGCTTTTATTTCTGACAATTCTTTGTTAAAAAATTAAGGTACCTTCAGGTTAAAAATATTTGCTGCCCCTGGAATAACCGATGGATCATTTCAGCTCCTTGTGTTCTAATCTTCTAGATATAAAGGTCAGCATTCTAATAGCCTTTATCTTCTGTAGTCTGCTCATGACATTTTAATTATCCCGGTACCTGGAATCTCCAAAGCTCTTTGGACATTCACCATTTGTAGATTTTCACCATCCAGGAAATATCTTATTTTAACAAAGTGTAGAGCTGGAGGACCACAGCTTCTTCTTTTCTGAAGAAGGGTCCCGACCCGAAACGTCAGCTTTCCTGTTCCTTTGATGCTGCCTGCCCTGCTATGTTCCTCCAGCTCCGCAGTGTGTTATCTCTGACTCCAGCATTGGCAGTCCTTGCTATTTCAATATCTTATTTTATCTTTGTTTTTGGTCCAAACTGGATGATCTCAAACATGCAGTCTGTTTATGTAGAGCAGCTAGCTTTAATATAACCATTGTGCATAAGGCATTCCAGAAACTTTGCGCAAAAGTGAATGATCAATTTTTAAAGTCATGACGCACATAACTGTCAACATAGCTGTTTCCTTTTGACACATTCACCTTATTCCCTCTCAATCAAGTACTGGCAATCAGTCAGTGATACAAATTAAGCCAAATAAACTGCATTTGCTGGAATCCAAGATAGACAAACAGGAGGCTGGAAGAACACAGCAAGCCAGGCAGCATCTGGAGGAAAGTCGCAGTCAATGTTTCGGGTATGACCGGTTCTGTTTCCAGATGAAAAAGATGAAGACACAATAAAATGTTTATTGTTGACACGTGAAGAGGTAAATCAGATTGAAACAGATACAGTTCCTACTATCTCTGATTCGATTTTAACACCTTTAAGGAACATCGTGCGCGAGAACAGGAAATGCTTCACATCATGTTGTGGGAGGTGACAGCATTCTTAATAACGAGCAGTTATTTGGAAAAGAATGTGAGCGCGATAATGACCATAGTAGCAACACTCCTTGCAGCTATGTTAGAAACCATTAGAGAGAGCACAGACCACTCATTGACCTGGAGTGAAGATTCAACCTGATTCCAGATTTACTGCCAAATGATGATTTTGCATCAGTCACTCATCCTGGATATGATGTTTCTTTTTCCAGGTGGGGGAAACTTTCCATCGAACAGCAATACTCATTTTGTTGATATAATTTATCAATATAGCATTGCTGATGTTCTCTCAGGTGCACTGTGGTTAATGAAATGCTTAGTCATAATGGTCCAAGTATCCTAGCGTATGTAGGGTTAATGGACCACCCTGTCAATATTCATTCCTGAAAATACCACTGTTAATCTTGTAACCTTGTATTGCAGGCACTTGACAGTGAGTTTGGGAGGCCTTTACAGCTGACACTAGTGGAATTCAATCTTTGCCTGTTGTATACCCACGTTATACTTCCCGTGTTGTTGCTAGATATTGATAAGGAGCAGAAACCCCAAAGGATTTTTCTTCTTTCCAAGGAGCAGCCCAGGATTGTGATAAAGAAAAAAATGAACTTGCATTCATGTAGAATCCTTCATTACCACAGGATGTCCCGATGCACTTCAGAGTCAATAAAGCAATTGTTGAAATGTAGTCAATATCATGATGTAGGAAACACAACAACTAATTAGCATACATGCTCTTATGAACAGCAATGTGATATTGACCAGACCATCTGTCTTTAGTCATAGAGAGCTGCAGCACAGAAAAAGCCCTTTGGCCCATCAAGTCTGCAAGACAGCTTTAATGTTGTGAATTGAGGGGTAAACATTGGTCAGGATGTTAGGGAAAGTTCCCTTCTCTTCTTTGGATAGGGCCATAACCCTCTGAAAGAGAAGACAGGGCTCTGCTTTAATGTCTGTCTAAATTTCAGTATAACATACCCTCATTAATACACCAAAGTGACAGTCTAGGATCGGTCTTCAAGTTTCTGGAATGGAATGTGAACTCACAACCTTCTAACTCAGAGATGAAAGGGCTGCCAACTATAGCATCCTTATCAGAGAAATCAGCACAGCCAGGAGACCAAATCTGGGCTTTGTTGGTTTGTTATACTCAACTAGCCATTAGAGCAAGCAGCTGAACTACACAGTTAGGCCTGCCTTTTAAAGCAACACAGCATTTTTTTGAAAGTATTGCATAATTCGGGATTTTGGAATGCATAAATAAGAGGGTCAATAATTGAGTGGCACATGATGAAGATGAGGTCCACCTGAAAGAGGCATATGAAACATGCACAGTATGGGTTTGAAGGGCAGAACAGATAGAGGGTGAAGTGAAGGGAAAATGGGGCCCAACAGACAATAAATATCCCGAGGAGGATAGTTAGTCTGAGGGGTCCTTTAAAATTGGTTCGTCGATGGGCTCTGTAACCTGGAAGTGATCGAATCCGTTTGGCATGTATTTGAGCCAGTAGGAATATGAATATATAAAGGGATAAAATGAGAACAAGCGTTATGAAGAACAATACAAAAAAGAAGCTAACAATGCCTTCATATTTGGCGAAAGAGATCATGATGATACCAGTAAAAGTACAAAAGATCCATATTGCTGCAATAATGACTGCCACTCGCTTTCTAGTCATGATGTTGTGGTAGCGCAGAGCATGGAAAATAGTTATGTATCTGTCGGTTGTGATTGCTGCCAAATTGAAGACGGAAGCTATGAACGAAATGCACAATAATGAGTCATATATGTCATCCAATATCTTTATCAAAGCATGAGTGACCAGATGTTCCTTTCCAGATATTACAGATATTGTCACTGCTTCCCACGCCTTGGTCAAGCTCAGCAGAATGTCTGAAATGGCTAGACTGCAGATGAAGAAGTACATTGGGGAATGTAGATTCCTGTTTTTGATCACTGCAATAATCACCAGCAGGTTTTCCAGCAAACTGATGCCTGCAAGGATGAGGTAGACCTCCGTGGGAATCGCGATTTGAGTACACTCTTTCACAGCACTCCCATTCACCTGGACGCTGCCATTTCTTTCAGGCACTGTTTTGCTCAGCAACCAAGAAGAGTTGGTGACATCTGTGTGATCTGGAGAGATGGTTGCCTCTGTGCCCAGTGAGATATTAACACCTGCCATTTCCTGAACTTGGAGTCCAAAGCAAAATTTGAGGAGAGTTAATCTTCAGCAAGTGCCGTGGCAATTCCTTAATGTGGAATTGGCCTTTTCATATCATATCATTGCTTTGCATTGTACCATAATGGTTCACTACCCCAGGAACTGGAAGTGGTACCTGAAAAAAAAAGTCATTAAAAATAAATAAAAAAAGTTAAACTTTGTTAAACATGTAAGATCAAATTTTTGAGTTTATATACAATTTAAATATAACATAAGTTCAACTTTTGTTAGAATACACCCTATAAACTCTCCGGTCTCTATAATTGAAAAAAAAGGTTAGAACTGTCAAACAGGTGAAAAAAAATCCGAAGGATGATACTAGAACTAGGGTCCAGTAGATTTCAGGAAAGGCTAAGTTTTATCTGGCAAACAGATGGCTGAAGGGTGACCTCATTAATATTTTTAAGTTATAAAGGTGTTCAGGAAAATAGGAAAGGAAGCAAGGGGGAACAATGACTGAAACAAATGCAGGAAATATTGGAGAAACTCTGGCAGCATCTGTGTAGGGAGAAGCAGAGTTAATGTTTCAAGTCCAATATGACTTTTCTTCAGAACTGGAGAAGTGATGGCTTTGTTTAAGGAGAGCTTTGCAGTGCTGAAGAAACATTTCTTAGAGAGGTGGTGTAGGATTCTCGAGTTGAATGGGAGGTATGTGGAACAGCATCAGAGGGCACGGTAGCCTACAGGAGCGGGGTGGGGGGTGTTATTGACTGTGACCACCATCATGGCCTCCAGAGGGGGGAATGTAAAGGAGTTGGGTAGTGTGGGGGTGTGGGTGGTTGGGACCCTCCATTTTAGTGCAGAGTGTATCACATTATTCTGGAGAGCTATGCTCTGCACATTCAGAGCAGGTAATGAAGCGACATGCTGGATGCCAAAGAAGGGTAGGAATAGGTGCAGTTTTCTGAGGAGGAGGAGGACATTGAGGAGGAGCAAGAAGCTGATGCTTTCCACGTATTGGGTGCTATAAACCAAACAGTGTCTGACAGACACTCAGTTTCAACAGTAGAATGCTGGGGATGCAGTACACAATCGCTGACTGCAATCTTTGGTCATAATGTTGAGATCTCGTTGCCTCCGTCGGGGGCAAGCATCAAACCTTTCTCGACTTCTGTTCGTTGTGTTCTCTTTTGCTTCCTGTAAATGAAAGTCTTTGCCCTTGTCTCAGAGTTTACTGTGCATGATGTGAAAGAGTATCAGCCATGACAGTAACATGTCTTGGGCAACATGGCTCTGTGGCTGTTGTGCCATTTTGCTGAGGCTCAATGCCGGACTGAGCAGCAACACCAGACTGAGGGACAATGCCAGATTGAAGGGCAATGCTAGGTTGAGGGGAAATGCCAGATTGAAGGGCAATGCCAGATTGAGGGGCAATGCCAGATTGAAGGGCAATGCCAGATTGAGGGGCAATGCCAGATTGAGGGGCAATGCCAGAATGAGGGGCAATGCCAGATTGAGGGGCCATGCCAGATTGAAGGGCAATGCCAGACTGAGGGGCAATACCAGATTGAGGGGTAATATCAGATTGAGGGGCCATGCCAGATTGACAGGCAACACCAGACTGAGGGGCAATGCCAGACTGAGGGGCAATACCAGATTGAGGGGCCATGCCAGTTTGACAGGCAACACCAGACTGAGGGGCAATACCAGTTTGGCGGCAATGCCAGATTGAGGCTCAATGTCAGATTGAGTGGCTATGTTAGATTGGGGGGAAATGCCAGATTGAGGGGCGATGACAGATTGCCAATGCTTGCCCAGCTACACTTCCAAAAATGGCACAAGGAGTGCTGGACTTTCTGCAGAAATCTTCTGAGTGATGAGTTGCTCTGGGAACAGCATGGGGTAAGATGGTGTGGAAATCAGATGTGACAGACACTATAGACACAGGGTAAGTAATTAATGAGGTGAATTTCATATGATAAAGCAAGAGAGCTCTCACTGCCTGCAGCGACAAACCCTCCCAAAAGTCCTGATACAATTCAGACTATAGTGTGAGAGATTCAAGGAGAGAACAGTATTATTTTTGCCGTTAGAATGGATATGTGACGACAGACCGCTGCAACTTGGAAGATCATCTGGTTTCTTCTGTACAACGGTGGAGAGAGTCTCCAGAAAATGTCATACGATTGGGCAAGGCTTCTGACAAACTGAGATTATCTAATGCATTTACTGTGGGTGTAATTTGGAACATAAAACCTTTTGGGAGGCTGATATTCCAGGGTGAAGTAACTCAATTTCTGTCAGATGAAGGAGCCAAAAACATTGCTATCCTTCAAGATACGTGACAAGCTAGAAGCTTATGCTAGTACAAACATGAACTTATCTCTGTATAGTTTGCTAAACCATAATGAAATAATACTAGGTATTCAGGCAAACTGTTTACCAGTTCCCTAAAAGTATAGTCTGATGAAGGGTCTAGGCCCGAAACGTCAGCCTCTCTGCTCCTATGATGCTGCTTGGCCTGCTGTGTTCATCCAGCCCTGCACCTTGTTGTCTCGGATTCTCCAGCATCTGCAGTTCCTACTATCTCTGTTTACCAGTTCCGTTGTATAGAATGAATTTATATGATAATGTTACTCAATTGGTCTTGTACAAGTGGTGTCAAAGTTGCTTGTTTATGATGTTGACTTCAAACTAAGTAAGTATCCAGCAGGAAATAAAATGATATTATCTGCAGAGATGGTAGGCATCTCCATTGAAAGTGGCAGGGTCTATTTGCAACCGTGCTCCAGAGAGCAATGTTTCAACTGAATATGCATCCAAAGAATCAACAGTTCAGTTTGTCGACAATGTGTTGAAAATAACCAGAAGCAAATGGAATGTACTTCAATGAAATTTGCCTGCTGAACCTAATCAACAGCTGATAAACCGAGCGAATGGTTAAATAAAAACTGAAACACAATGTTGGGAGCAGGAGTAGGCCATCTAAGGCCTTTTGAGAATGCCTCACTCTTTATTTACCTTCAAACTCACCTCCACTTTTTGACCTGCTCACTCTAAGCCTTGATGTCCCTTGGTATCCGAACCTCTATTGATTTGAACCTTGAATGTAATCCACAACAGAGCATCCACAGCGCTATATATGGTAGTCACTTCCAAAGATATGTGAGCCTTTGAGTGCAAAAAGACTTCTCTCTTGTTGTGAAGTAGGATAGAGTACTTGTGGTTTGGGAGGCAGGATGTTAGAATTTGGTGTTTGTAAAATATTGGTGTTTGTAAAATGCTAGGCGGGAAAGTATTACGTGGTCCCTTTAAACAACTGTGCTTTTTCTATGCTTAGAGATTTAAACAAAATGTCTGTCAGCAGCTTAAAAGTTTGAAAGTATAAAGAGAGCACCCAAATTGAAACATTTGTATCAAAAGTCCATACAGTTAGCAGGCCAAGCAGCAGTTTTGTTTTGTTATCAAGACAACAAGTTTTGAATTTAGCCAATCAACTTGAACCAAGCACTTAGATTCCAAAAACCGATTAAATTTAAATCTGATGGTTTTGACAACATAGGACCAATCCTATTGTAGGAAATTGATATGTTATCAAGGGTAAAAAGAAGAGGGGAGTTGGACAAAGACAGTAGAGCAAACTGCAATCTGCCAGAGTTAACAGCTCTCAGCTTTCAAGAGAGCATTGCTGGCTCTTGTAGTCTTCTCTAAGTTTTAGAGAAAGCACCATCTAAATCAAAGGTACCTATGGCACAACTAGTTAATATTCCTGACAGAAGAATCAACGGAGAAAGCGTTCCTGACAGAACATTCAATGGAGAAGGCACAGAACATTCCAGAAGACACATAACCTGGCTGAGACTAAATTCTATGTCTTTTTTTAATTTTATATAAGTGGGATTTGTATTTATTAGAACAGCACATGATTAAAGGGTTTGTTCACTTTGTTACTAGTTTAGTTAATTTATTCACTGCTAGAGTTAGATTAATAAATTGTTACTTGTTGCTTGTAAAGTGAGTGAAGTTGTTGATTTGCTCGCCGAGGTGGCTGGCTATAAAGTTGGCTGTATAATGAGTGCTGGGGATTTATTTTATTTAACCACTAAAAGTTGCTGAAAGGCAGGTTACACCACCTTTCACACTCTTTTTATAGATTATAGGTCGAGGTGCCTCTCTTTGGGTGTTTCAGTTTTGATTCCCAGGGTTGGGTGGTTGGGGTCAACCTCTGCTTATAACAGTTTGGGGGCTCGGGTGTGGGATCTGGCCAGTTTGTGTCTGGGATTTGGATGAATTTGAATGGATTTGAACAGATTTGAACAGATCCGAATGAATTTGGATGGATCTGAATGGATCTGAATGGGTTTGGATGGATATGAATGGATCTGAACGGATTTGGAGAGATTTGAACAGAGTTATGAAAGGTCCTAACAGATTTAAACAGACTTGGGGACTAATGTCCTAGATCTTTAAATAAAACCTAAGTGAGAAGTAGAAAATCTGTTTAATTTATGTTGCTTGTTGTTGGTTAAATCAAAAGTGGGGAAATGGCTCTTAACATTACTAAAGAGGTTTCGGGGGACGAAGATGCTTCCCAATTTGACAAGAAAGTTTAGAAAGACAGAAAAAGGGGGCACTTTTAAAATTAGCAAACAGACTAGAATTGGGTTTAACTAGGAATAAGAAGAAAGCTAAAATTGTAACAGAGTTAGTCAAGCATTTAGGTATATCAGAGAAACAGTTAAGTGCAGTGGAGTTAGAAAAAATTAAATTGCAAATTAGACAATTGGAGTTAGAAGATAAAGAAAGGAAAAGAAGATTCCTAGCTGATAAAGAAGAAAGGGAAAGAAGATTTGAGTTGGAAAAGATGAAGTTGGAACTTGAAGAAAAAAAACTTCAAATGACAGAAATAAAAGTACAAGTTAGAAGTGACGAAGAGCAAACTCATTGTAGCCAACAGCCTGTTAAGGATAAATACAAATATGTCAAAACCTTACCAAAGTTTAATGAAAAAGATGTAGAAGCCTTTGTTATTGCCTTTGAGAAATTGGCTAAACAGATGAACTGGCCAGAGACAATGTGAGCAATTTTAATTCAGACCAAGTTGGTAGGCAGGGTGAGTGAGGTGTTTGCATTGCTGTCAGAGGAGATATCAAGAGAATATGAAGCAGTACAATG